ACCGTCAGTGTGCAGGTCACGTGGCCGCGCGTGGGGGGCGCGTAGGTCCGTGCCTTGGCCGGCGCGTGGGGGCGCGTGCGTGGTCCAAAAATTTTTCTAAAAATATGGGCGTGATCCTGAGGTTGTGTAGGTCACGTTGGTATATTCATTTGCCCAATTTGAGCAATGTATGAGAAGTTATTACGAGAAGTTGCTTAGGTGCTTTTAAATTAATGTTTTCGTAACTTTGTCGCGTATAGGTGATTCCTATTCCGAGGACGAGCGTACGCACTCGAGGCAGGGGGGCTACGACCCTTCTAATTATCAGTGAGTGGGCTTTTGTTTTCCGTATATACCTATATACCTCTAAATTCCCAGAAATAGAATAGAAAAAGTTATTTGTTTTATGCCATGCATCATATGATTGACGTTTACGCATTATCACGTGCATTGGTAATTGACATACATTTATAAATGTGTATTTGATGCTGTGGACGCACAGGTAAGTGCCAGGTAAGCGGTATTCATGTGGTTATGCATTCCTGTTTATTATGCAATAGTAGTTTGAAATGCTTAGAGAGCTCATAATCTGCACCCCCGGTGTTAGTGCTCCCGCCCAGAGAGGGGCAGAGTCCTTCATGTGTATGTTCACCAGCACCACACGCTCGCCTTGGATCCAAGTTAGGTGCAAGCCTTGTCGTGCAGACCACATTAGGTGGTTCCGACTCGTAGGTGACCCGCGATTATTCGCATAGTCTTCACGTGATCGTAGCACTAGAGCGTATATATATTACACCCAGTCTTGTCGTACAGACCACGTTAGGTGGCTCCGACTTGTGTGCAGATTCAGATATTGAGTTGAGATTGGAGCTCTATATGCAGCGGTACATGTCACGTTAGGTGACTCCCGGCTGCCAGATTATGTTATTGATGTGAATTACGCTTGAGCATTTATATTTGATTATGAGATTTTGTTGTGGCATATTCTCAAGCATGAATGGCATATTCTCGAGCATGAATGGCATATCATGGAGCATGATTGACATATCTATACATACTTATATTATGTTCATTTTCTGGGAAGTATACAGGTTTTACGGCGAGGGGTTAGAATGTATTTTGCTAAAGAGTTTTCAAAGAACTTTGTTTTTGCCCACTCACGCTTTTGTTTTTGCGCCCCTCCAGGTTCTAGTGGTCTAGCGAGTTCGGTGGTTTATCCCAGAGGGCGTCCCGGCATTTCTGACAGACATTCACCATTGTAGGGTCACCTTCGGGTGTATATATGTCGTATCTTTCCTTTTGGACTGTTGTAGACTTGCTCTGAATTGTGTCTCACATACACTAGTACCTTGTATGTTATTAGGTTTTTAATTATTCGTACTTTTATATTACCTTCTCATTAGCTTCCGCACGCGCACATGGTTACGTCACCTTTGCGTGACGGCCAGCACGCCCTGATCTCGGTCGGGGTGTGTCATTTCAGTACACACATTTAGGTATATTAATTTAATATAATACATTTCAGTGCATATATTTCAGTACATACATTTCGGTATTAATATTTAAATAAATTAGTTCAATATAATACATTTTGATACATACATTTAGGTACATTAATTGAGTCTTTCAAGTTTGAAGAATGTTAAATAAAATTAATAAATTAAAAAAAAAAACGTTTTTTTGGTCAAAAAATAAATTAAAATTTGTATATTAATAAATTTAAATATTTAGTGGGAGACATTAAATAAAATGTACATTAATTATTTTGAATTAAGGACACATCAAGGGACTATAATCAATATGTAATCTAACACCTGATTTATTTTAAATTTCAATCATCTTGAAGGATTAAAGTTAAAAAACCCTGCTTCGATACGTACTTGACTTTATTTTGAGGCATTTTAACAAGGTCAAATTGAAGTCTTTGTCATCAATTTATTACAATGTTCTTTACTTTCGTGTTAAGATATTTTATCAAACTTCTTGTTATGTTTTAAGTAACATGTTGTAATTGAATAAAAAATATGAGCAATTATCTACATTGAACTGAATCTGTTAGTGATTCTGACCAACTTCATTAAATGACTACATATGGCTTATTTTGATAGCGAACTAAACATGTACTATTGGAAAAATTAAAACGACTACGGGAAAAATTAGGCCAAACAACACTGGTCAAAATGTTGCCCAAAATGTAGTGACAAAAATCAGTTGAGTCAGTCGTGTACTTGAGCATATTTTACTTCGCATTGTTCTTGTTCATAGATGCCCAGGTTGTCAACTTTGGTCCCTTTCACATGGCCCACTCTTTCTCGGACGCATGAAATCAGATGCCACGTATAACATGATAGCCACATACCGGCCGTCCGATAGAATGGGGGTGAGAGTCTAGTCAAATCATATGTATGTTTTCAGCGAACGAAACAAAGATCTCCCGTAGTTTGAATCTTCCATGATGTCATGACATAAAGGTTGGCTAACATTGGAAACTGGGTGTAGTCGGCACTCTTTTTTATTTTTTCTTTTTTCGTAGTCGAAAACTATGATTTATTAAGCAGAAAATATGTTATAGGCTAACTTAAGGGAAGACAAAATTACTCAAAACCTACTGGGGAAATCAGAAACGCAAAAGCCTAATCCAATAAGCAAACAAACTAAGACCCTCATCCCTATCCTCCAAACACAGAAAACAGCTCCCATCGTCGCCGTCGTGAACATCTTGCCAGCATCAAAGCAACAACACTAGAAAAAACAGCTGAGTGGTCAACTCGACCAAGACATTGTAGCACAAAAGTTACAAATTTGTAACCAAAAGCACACCACAATCAGATTTCGTCATCGGAAATGCGAAACTAATAAATAGTCACTGGATCCAAATTTCATTCATCAAACCCTAAAAATATATAGAAAAATAGTAACACATACATAAAGGTGAGGCTAAGGGTTACCTTACTTTGGTTGAAGTTGCAGAACACTTGGCCTCGAGAGGATTTCGGCATGCTGGTTGGGGAGGGAAAATGAGGGAGGGAAATAGATCTGGCATCCATTTTAGGTTCAGAGCCCACACATCGAAGGAAAGGATGGGGTGGGGATGGGTCATGAAGAAGGGAGGTAAATGGAAGGGATGGGGGGAGATGGAGGTTTGGATTTGATAAGGCACGACCATAGGAGAGAGAGGGTGGAAAACTAAATAACAAAAGGCAATGAAAACTAATGAAAAACGCCGGAGATGCTGCGATGAACACCGAGAAAGGGTCATGAAGGCCAAATTCGAGACAAGCTCAAAAGAAAATTTGAGACCAATTAAGCTCAAAGAAAACTAAGACAAAGCTAAAAAAGAAAATTGAAATACGAGAAAAAGGGAAGAAGATAAGGAGGAGAAAAAAGGGGGTTGCCACCGGCACCCAAGCCAAAGGGCTAGGGTCGGCAGATGTGTGTTGTGTTTTCGGTGAGAGAGATCCATGTTGGCTATTTCTTAGTCAGTACTTTACATACAAGGTTTTGATATGGAATAAGATGCCTCATTAATCACGAGAGTAATGGTACATGTATTATGTTTTGGGAAGTGTTATTGATACTCCAAAAATCTCATTCTACACTCCTCACAAGTGTATTTTTCTTTCCAAATATAGAGAGTTTGGAATGTAGAATGAGATTTTTGGAGTGCCAATAACAATTGCCTATGTTTATATATCTTACTCTGAATAAAGATGAAATTTGCTCATATAATTGAGTTTTTGAAGAAAGTACTCATACAATATGACATATGGAGAGTAGCTCAACTCCTTATAAACCTATGCATGCTCATTCTCAACAGTTCTACTTCTATTAAAATTCCATTATGTAAGTAGTATGAAAATTCTTGGGTCATAGTATTATGTTGATGTTGTGCTTATGAGAATACAAAATAACGTCATGAAGTGACGATACTAGGTAGTATGTAAATCTTTAGATTAGGTTTACATTGACATATACAAGATTTCCTCCGCAAAGTTGAGATTAACTAAAAAGAATTGATCTTTCCACAAGAAGAAAACCTTGTACGTGTGATGGATTGCATACGCTTATCTGTTTGTTTATTTTATCAGGTAAGACATGTGCGGCAACATAAAAAAACATAGATCGTTACAATTTGCTAGCAAAGTAATAAAATACAATTTACCATAAGAAACATGCCACATTTCGTGTTTAGGCTTGGGATGAGTTGAGACTCATTAGTTTCTATGTATGTCGAAGCAAAGAAAAAAACAGCTTTTAAAATTGTCCAAAGTTAGAAGATGAGGGGCATACCATAAATCACTTATCCACTTTGTTTTTGGAACGAAGTTTCTAAGAACATAAATTTTCTTTAAAGGAATTTATGTGTCAAAAAAAAAAAAAAAAAAAAAGAACTTTCAGCATGGGAGTGACTTATACAATATTTTTCACTTCGTGCACACCCTTTTTTATTATGGATCTTTTTCACTTCGTGCACACCCCTTTTATTGAGCATAATGACGTAAATTGGGCCTTAATGAGGTTAAATGTAACATCAATTCAACTTTCTCAATCTGAAAAGTGCATTGTTAAAAAAGATTAAGAGCTTGTTTGGATATACTTTTAAAATGACTGAAAGCGCTTTTCGTGAAAATGTTTTTGGAACTAATTCTTAGTAAAAATATAAGGAAATTCTAGAAAGCACTTTTAAGTGCTTTTGGAACAAAAAAATATTTTCTCTAAAAGCATTTTCAGTCATTTTAAAAGTATATCCAAAAGAACCATAACTCTATCATTTTGACGTGGTTGCTTTATTCAATTCAATTGCTAAAAAAATTTGATACGTTGGTGGATAAATAATCTCTCTTTAAGAAACACCCTCCAAACAAGAAATTGGCCTTTTTTATTAATCATAAAGAACTTAGTTGGGCTTTTTCTCTTTTATATCCGAAAATTTGTCCAGTAATAATACGATGTAGAGGCGGGTACTGATTAAAAACCCGGCCCACCAAATTTCCCACTTTAAAAAAACCCGCCGTACCTCCGCATTCTAACCGCAGGTAGCAGAAGCCAGAGACAAATTAGGGTTAGGGTTTTCTCAATCGTTAGTGCCAAATCGGCTAAGCAGAGTAATCGCGACAATGATCTACGACGTGAACTCCCCCCTCTTCCGATCCTTCCTCAGCCAGAAAGGTGGCTCCTCCGACAAAAGGTCTTACCCTATCCTCAATCCTCTCTCTCACTCTCTCTCTCTTTATGCTTTTGGGGTTTATCTTTCTTGTAAAATTGGGGCATTTTGTTTCGATTATTGCGTATATATTTTTGGTAACGAAAACTTTGGCATTCTTATTTTGTTGAAATGAACGTAATGAAAAGACTACAATTTGTTGTTGATAATTTGGGATTTCAATCAACCCAAGGAATATGACTTTTTATTCAATTTCATGCATTTTTTTTCTTAATCTTTCCCAGCTGAGGTTTTGCTCTAATTTGTATGTCAGTTGTGTGTTCTATCAAAAAGATTGTTTTTGATATCTGTGGATGGGAAGTTGATGATTCATGGGTTTTTCGTAGCAGTCTTGTTTAGTTTAGCTTTTGCATCGGCGTTACTAAACTCAATTTCACGGTTTTGTGTATAAAGTACACGCATAATCTGTGGAGTGCAAGGTTTTATGTATATAAAGAGTATGTATGTTAATGTGTGATCGGTCTCCGTTGTTCTTTTTGCTCATATAGTCTCCCAACATTATGTGTTGAGAGTCAAGTGTCATCTATGCCATGAGCTTTGATACAAACTTTTCGTTAACCGCTGTAGTGGAACTCATTTTACTTAATTGAAGCTGTCTTGAATTATCCCCTATGGATACTTTGAACTTTATCATGCAATTTTAGATGGTGTATATGGGGTGTCAATTTTTGGAAAGGTTTATTATCTGATAAGAAAGAAAGGGAGGGAAGTTAATGTCTCGATGAGTGCTTCTGAAGGGTATAACAGCTCTCAGTAACAGGGCTCCCCTTCTATATATTTATTTTTCGTGTTCCTTCAGTTCTTGCTGTGCTCCTTGAAACTTTAATATGTAGAATTGCATACGCTATTAGGCTCTGATGGTTCTTTTTCTATTTGGTGCCCTCTGCCTTTTTACCTTTTTCCGTGTTTCTTTTTTCCTTTCCTGTTCTGTGCGATCGGTTTGTTTTCATTACATGCATCCTAACCTATCGTTTTATTTCGTTGGGAACTATAGGAAGTTGGAAGAGCAGAAGCCGAAGGAGCATCGACCAAAGGCCAGTGAGAATAAGCCTGTTATGAATGAGTGACAACAGATTGACATATAAGCTATGAACTGGTTTAGGACCCTTGGTGTTGTTAACTAGATGAGTACTATGTGTTTAAGACAAGATTATTGCTACGTATTGGCTTTTCGGTAACTTCTTAAGCAACCATTTATAGTTATATGTACTTTTGACCGTTGGAATTATGATTTACACTCATTTGAGTTGCACACAGAGCAACCCAGAAGGCCAAATGACCAGAAAACTCAGTAAAACAAACCACGAATGGGATTCCTGGGCCACCCATTAAGAATAAGAAGAAAACAAGCCATTTGGGTATAATGCGACGAATTCATGGCATTATATTTTTTTAAAATTTTTGACACAAATTTTTGTGGGATATACTTATTAATGTATTTGGATATTTTCTTTTACTACATATGAATGCTTTAATGGTTTTTTATTTGTCTAATTTTTTACAAGGATGAGGGAAGACTTAAAATATAGATAGTTCGGATCGAAATACATTATGGAGTGGGTTTCACAAAAACCTGTGTCAAAGTAGTGTTAAAAAAATAATGTCACGGATCTGCCTCTATGTGTGAATTGGTGCTTGCAATTGAATGGTTTGAAAAGTGAAATGTTGTGAGGCTAAATAGGTTGGTTTTGAATTCAGCAAGAAGTAATGGATTGGTTTCAAAATTTAGCAAGCAATGGGTGGGTGTTAACTGTTGGCTGAAGTTCGGATCGAAATACATTATGGAGTGGGTTTCACAAAAACCTGTGTTAAAGTTGTGTTAAAAAAATAATGTCACGGATCTGCCTCTATGTGTGAATTGGTGCTTGCAATTGAATGGTTTGAAAAGTGAAATGTTGTGAAGCTAAATAGGTTGGTTTTGAATTCAGCAAGAAGTAGTGGATTGGTTTCAAAATTTAGCAAGCAATGGGTGGGTGTTAACTGTTGGCTGAATTCGATCGAGAGACAGAGTGAGGGACTGAAGGCATAGTCCCGAACTGTACCGAAAAATTGACTCTTTTTTCGGAAATATTGAATTTTTCTGTTCGGTTTTTGGTTTTCGAAATCTCGTCACGAAAGAGATCGGTATGGGATTCCGTTTATGCTTTTAGGATCGGGGGCTTATTCTTTATTTAGAGCATCTTCAATGAAAAATGCCTAAAATGGGGGCATATTCTATTTTTTGTTGTCCAAAAAGCTCTGAAAGATGTAAATAAAAATGCAAATTTACGTACTTTGGAGATCTTACCAGTTAAAGAGAGAAAAATAAATGAAATCTTAGAGTATCTTTAAAGGAAATGTCAAAATTATCACGTAGGCATACAACAGCAAAAATGGCAGCAAACTCTCTCCAGCCGAGCCTTCAATTTCTTATGTGGCACTGAGTCATTTGAAGAAAAAGCCTTTTGCTGTCAAATTTGACAGCAGATGTCAAATTCATTAAATGATTTTTAATAGATTAATATAATATATAATAAATGTTGTTATGTTTTTGAAATATTTGATTGGTTGACTTAATTATTGGACTCCACAAAAAGATAAAAAGTTTATTAAATGACATTATTATTTAACATATCGGATGGAGCAAAATATTGTAAAATATGTCAAATTGCCACATAAACTATCAACTATCATTTTGATGTTTAAAATTTGACATCTCATTTAGAGATACTCTTAAATTTGCATCTTTTTCATTAGAGTAGAATTGAAATATACATCTCTCGAAAATATAAAATGAGGTGTAAATGTTGCATCTCAAATTTAAGTGTTTTCACTGGAGATGCCCTCAATAACTTTGGTTTCTCCCTCAATTGAATGAGTTGACTTTGCTAGTTTCCCTTTCTTCGGCATAAACATTGGGCTTTGCCCTCCATGGCCATAAAAGTAGAAAATAAAACAAAATCTGTTAATTTATTTGATCACATAAAATTCTTGATGATTAAAAGTCACAAATTTTTTTTATTTGAACTCATATAACATTTTTCTACACTCAATTTAAACTCTACATATGAAATGTCTTTATTACGTTATTGCAAAATCACCATTTAATAGAAGATAAAATTAACAATAAAAATAAGATTTATCAATAAACCTACACAGCTAATAATCAAACCCTAAAAAGAACGACAGCACCAGTACAAATCATGTTATTAAAAAATTGATCAGCAATATAGTTTTTATATTTATGTTTATGCTTCTTTCTCTTACACCAAAAATAACAGCATCCATTACAAATGAACAATAAGTTTCTCACTGCACATCAAGGCTTCTTGTGTGTAGTGTTCTTTCCTTCACTTCTATATGTTTATCATCTCCAGCTCTCCGGCTAACATCTGCATACTATTCGGCATCTGCTATGTGTTTCACTAGATTTTCTAAATAAAGGATAATTAACAACCCATCACAATAATTAATCTGATTTACATATTTCTATGAGGCGACATGCAATCTTGATTACCTGCAACAAATATTATGCATTCCATTAATATGAAGTAGTATCGTTAATTACAAATAAAATGCTTTGATTTCGGGTTTTTTATTATTTTAAATTAGTGTAAAAATAAATTTACGTACTGAATAGGATTTATGAGGGTAATTTAGATAACAAATTTGAGTTTAAAGAGATATTAATAGTGTCATTAACAATAAAATGAGTGTCAAAAGTAAGTCGGGTGTAGTCATGTTCGGTTACCTGCATCTGATACTTCTTTCTGAATTCATGGGAGTTGCTTTTCGTTTCTCTTTACAAAGTCACTAGCATATATCATAAATTCAAAACAGCCAAAGTTTCATGACTCTGGCAAATAGCAAGTTGTTCAATTTTGGATACAGTTCTAAAAATCCCCACTTGGCCCCGCCCCGCCTAGACGCTAGGCGCTAGGCGGTTGGCCACCGTTCAGATTAATGTCTAGACGTTTGAAAATTAAGAAAATGATGGCTAGACCTGCTGATGCGCCCTCCTGGACCGCCTAGGCATCCCCCTAGCCCACCCAGACTTGCCTAGGCACCCACCTAGGTTGCGACTCGCTTAGACTGTAAAAATTTTCACTTTGTATTTTATTTTTTTTAATAAATTGTAAGAGACTTATTGAATACTTAAATGAACACACGCATTATATATTTGTTCCCCATGTTTTTCCTTATATTCCAATACTTCATAATATATATATCATTCTATTTTGTAATTTATGACATTTATTTACACGAAATATAATAGATCCACTTAAATCCGCCTAGTCCGCTTAGCAACCAGACCTCAATCCGCCGCCCAATTAGCGTCTAACGTGTTTTAGCAGAAATTGTCTAAAAACACTGAAAAGTAAAAACAGTGACTAAGATTCGGAGGTGTTTGTAATATCAAACAACCTTAACCTTAACCTCGGCAGACGTATCCTCGGAAGCAGCTTCGGAGTTGACCGGAGAAATCGCTTTAGGTATTTCCTTAGAGTCGGCGCTTGATTCGGCTCCCTTAGACGCCTCAAGCTCCGCGATTTCGCCTGATAAGCTATGAGGAATTGGAAAGTTGGCCTTTTTGATCATTTCATCACCCCACGGAGATTGAACTTTGGAATCACTAGCAGTTTGATTCCACTCTTCCTGAAGTTCGTGTACAGAAGCATTCAAACCTGGAATTTTTGCTTCCTTTTCTTCCAACTTCTTCTTCAAAGCCCCAATCTCATTTAGCTGTTCATTGATTTTTAGAGAAGCTGCACTGTTTTTTGTCTGCAATGATAATAAATCAGCATTTAGTGCATTCATTTTCTTCTTGTCAAGCTCCTCTTGTCGTAGAATCTTTTTCATTTCATGGTTTAGCATTTTATTTGATTCCCTGAGTGCTATGCACTCTTTGTTTGAAGAGTCCAGTGCATATGTCATCAACGTCTTGAAGGTTAGGTACCTTTTCTGATCAATGCTCCTAGCACTCTTGAACTCATTGAAAAGATCTACACTTAAGGTTCCATCCATGCCAATGATGTATCTCTGATGAATGGCATCGAGTTTGCTCATTTCCTCTTTGTACAGTTGATCGAACTGTGCTTGAGCTTCATTTATATTGATGCCTTCATGTTCTTCATCATTTTGCTTCCTTTTCTGTTTCTTCTTTTTCTTCTTCAAATTTTTATCAACCTCTGCCATCTCATCTTTGTTTGCTTCCTCTTTTTGGTGGGAATGGTCATCCAATTTATCATCTTCAGGTTGAGCATAAGGAATGACATCACTTTGCTTTCTTTTCTTCGTTCTTGTTTTTTCTTGTTTTTTCTTCGAAGATTCTTCTTGTGGATGAGCACAAGGAATGACACCATCAATCTGCACACAATCACATTATATAGTTGTTAACTTACATAGTAATGTAATTATTTTTTGTTGATAAACAATGTCAAAGATTGATAAACAAACCACTTCTAGAACTGCAAATTGGAATTATTTACGAATTTGCAGTAAGACACTATTTCTGAAATTGTAAACATTATTTTGTATAATTGTTTACTGACAATATTTTGTTGTTAATTGTGCTTCTAAATAAAGAGATCATTATTTTTATAGAATTGCAAATTGAAAACAGCTATACAAATGCACTATTTCTAGAAGAGTAAACATGAAATATTTGGGAAATTGTAAACTGCAAATAGTCATTATTTACTGAAATGTAGAGTGAAATAACTTGATTATTGGTCATTACCATGATTTGTTCAACTGGGACATCTTTGATTGCTTTGTGTATCATACTTGTATCCCATCTTGCAATTGCTGGAATCATGTTTTCTCGTCCTCTGACCGTCTTAACCACATTTGTATGAAGACATATCCAATACTGTATGAATCAGTAAACTAAAGTTAGTTTTGTGAAATTTATAAAAAAACAATTCATGCTCTTCGTACTATTATTCTTATTTCTTACCAAAACAAAGACGGTGCAGCCACTAATTGTTGGTTCTTCTCCTCTATTTTTTTTCTTCTTCTGTGCTTTGTTTATCATCTTGAGGAGGTAATCTTTCACTCCTTTCGCCCAGTTATATTTACTGATCTCATCCAACTCCCCACATATCTTTAAGAAACTCCAGGTAATATACGTGCCAGAATTAGCAAAAAGAAGTGATTGGATGAGATGAGCACAGATTATGGAAGCGGTATCTTTTGCACCTTGAGGAGATTGGTCCAGGAGTGATTTTTCATAGGCTTCTATTAGTTGCTTCCTTTTGACAACTTTTGCATGCTTAAAGTATTTGTCAATGAAGGGGTCCTCTTTTCCATGTTTCGTGGACTTGTCCGTGTTTGGAAGCTCCACTCCTCTGTTGTTCAGACCAAATATCTGAACAACATCATCGTTCGTTATTCCCTTTGCTTCATTATCTCCAAACTTAAATTTTTGCTCCTTTGAGTTGTAGCATTGCATGATCTTTATTAAATCCATACCGGACTTCTTCTTTCTATCCGTGGCGATCAATATGTCATCCATGTACATTTTTAGTAGACTCCAAAATGGTGTCTTGGCTAACTCGTCGCAGATGTCTTGACGTTGTTGAAGCGTAGGCTTGTACAATTGCATGGCATCTGCAAAGCCCGTCATGTTGCATCTATATTGCAGATAATCCTTCTTCTTTTTTGTTGGGCTTTTCTTAGCAAAAGTCTTTATCCTCGGTTTCTTGGTTTCTTTCATCTGCAACAATGACAGTTTAAAAATTTGACACTATTTCTGGAACTACAGTAAAATAACTCACACTATTTTTGGAACTAAAGTAAGATAACACACTATTTCTGAAACTGAACCAAAATAACCCACACTATTTCTGGAACTATAGCAAAATAACACATATTACTCTACTTCTAGCAAGTGTCTTACCATGTAAATAAAACCTTCATCAAATATTAACCAATTCTTACCCTCTCTGGCTGAATGACATCAGTTGAAGGCATGCGGTTTGGATCTTGAGGAGCAATTTCTTTGTCCCAAAAACTGGGAAGTGGAACTAAAGCATTACTTTCCCCTGCAAGCACCAACCAGCAATTTGGTGAACAATATTCACCTAGACCAAATAATAAATACAGAAAGATAACCTATTGGAACAATTATCAGTCACCAAAACTGATCAGGAATCATTGACATGTGATCATATTATACAGCTCAAAACTCGCAAGAATAAACACCCTAAACACAAACATCAGCAGAACAATACAGGCCATCAAACACAAGCACAATTCAGCTAATTCTTACCGGAGACCAGTCTCATGCGTTTGCGCTTTCTTAAGCTCACCATGGTTGATTTTATGTCATTGATCTCTTGGTGGCCGTTCTCATGTATCAAGCTACTTCTTCGATAAAGAAACAGATAAATCAAAGTGATGTATTGTACATTTGAATTTCAAGTGGAATTGATAAAGCAATTGAAACTACTATAACATGTTTTTGGATACTGATGTAGCCTGATATATATGTATGAACAAGGTACCCCACCAAAAGAGCAAAACATAATTCAAGTAACAAATGAGAAGGAGCCTTGAAGGAACTGGCAACCAGTAAATTCATTAGCAACAGTCTGACGGTTAAAGGCACGGCGGATGAAACCTAATATTTACAATGAGCAAGATGAAAGACCACCCAATAGTCACATGATCAGAGAGTGAAACTCGATTTCAATTGGTAAAGCTGTAAATAACTGGTAAACGTTTTCGTCACACAGCTTCAAAAAGCACCTAAATTAAAAAAAAAATTCATAATTTCTGAACCCGGAAAGTTAGAGCTGTTAGTAAAATACAAAAAGCAGCAAAACCCATAAGACAAAATGTAAACTCGAACTCCAAAGACACTCTCACACAAAGCCATAACATAAAAATCAAGAACAACCCACAAAGCCATCAACAAATAATTACCCTTTTTTACTTGAATCTCATCAATGCAAAATGCCCATGGCCAGAAACCCAGTACACAATCCAGGATTGAAAGAGCCATCAAAGAAAAAGCAAATGGAAAGAGAAAGTCAGTACCTTTGCAGCTCAAGAGGGCAGAGTGAGTTGGTACCCAGAAAGTCAAATGATCAGAAAACTCAGTAAACAAACCAGTAATGAGATTCCTGGACCACCCATTAAGAGAAAAAAAAGGAAGAAACAAGCGATCGGGAAGAGAAAAGTTGGTACTTTTTGCAGCTCAGGAGGTAAGAGTGAGACTATCAGAGCGAGTCGGAGGAATCCCTGAAAGCGGGAGGAGATGGGGATTTAAGGAAGGGGGAATGTGGAGAGGGTCTTGCTCGGGAAGACGGATGGTTATGCCTTCTGAGTTGATGCTCAGTAGTAGCCGAGAGGATCTTCCTTCTGAGTTAAAGCTCAATAGTAGTCAGTAAACTCAGTACACCCATTGCGCCCATGGAAAATTGCTTACTACCGACATCACCCAACATAACTTATGAAGTTTATTTTAAGGAATTGTTATTTCCATTTGGTATTTCAAATTTTCTATAATTAGAAATAAAATAAGCTTGTGAAGAGTGTAAAATAAGATTTTTAAAATGTTAATAACAATTTTCTTTAATTTATTACAAATTTGGTCCACAAATTTGGGCCTCAAGCTATTTTCTGTCCTCAATTTGTTTCAGAGTTTTTGAAAAGATAATGTTATTCACATACCTATATTTACCTCTTATATACCCTTGTTAATTTTTTTCATTGATCTTTTTCAATCCATTCAATTTGACAGCCAGAAATTGAGAACGGTGCGTGAGAGGTAAAACTAGTGTACGAATAACACCACTCTTTTTATGTGTTCAATGAGAAAAGAAATGAAAAGAGAATATTTTTCGAACATCATTTGTTGGTCTCTCAAACATTCTTCTTTATTTTTAATCATTAGATTAAATAAATCAAATAACAAAAAACAGAAATAATTAAACAAAAATATGTAAAAAAAGAAAAAGTGTGTTTATCATTTCCTAATTCCTATCCTTTTTTAGTATATTGATATCTGTGCTTGCGTGCATGATCTAACTGATATGTAGTATTAATCTCATGTCATTTGCGTTTCAAAGGAGCAAGACTTTGAAAAAGAATTTAGTCCTAAATCTTTCTGTACTCTTCTGCCTTTGGAGCTGCAAAATCCTCCACAACCGCACCACGAGCGGCCATGCTGAGATCCTCGCGCAACTTCTCAACCTTCTGCAAAAGCTCCCTCAACTGCATTTGGTTAGGTTCACCATCAGCAAGTCTACCTCTCGCATGAGCTCTACCTTTTCCCACAGCTTCTCCTGTTTTAGCTTATCCATCGTGGCTTGCAAGCTGCCTATCTTGTTCTCAAGCTGAAAGGTGCAAGACTCTGGGAACTTTACTTGGCTCAGCGAGGAATTTACTTGGCTGCTTAGAGATACATCACCCCCCTGGGTCGTTTACTTGGTTCTCCGAGGATTTAACCTGGCTGCTTGGAGATACGTCAGCTTCAAGGTCTTTTACTTGGCTATGCAAGGATTCATTTTGGCTGCTTAGAGATACGTCAGCTTCCGGGTATTTTACTAGGCTCTGCAAGGATTCAACTTGGCTGCTTAGAACTTTATCCCCTGGGTCTTTTACTTGGCTCTCCATGGATTTAACTTGGCCGCTTAGAGATACATCAAACCCCGGATCATTTACTTGGTTCTCCAAGGAACTAACTTGGCTGCTTTGAGATACGTCAGCCCAAAGAGAATCCCCATTTTTCTGAAAATGCAGCTTGTGTATACGAGAGTGTCCTGCCTCATTTCCCACAGTTACAAAAGCAGGCAAAGCCAGCACCGCATCAGTGAAACTCTTAGCCGAAGCCCCTATAGCAGTCCTATTCTGGTAGTATTACAGTTGGAACATACACACATCTTATTAGTTATTAGACATCAATTTAGAAATCAAGACATACTGATCAAGCATTGAATCTTATGCACTTGAGTTTTACGAGAAATTTATGCACCAGAATATAAATCGCATCAAAACTTTCCTAATAAATCGCATTGTATCTTAAACTGTTGTTAAAAATGATAAAACCTTCAAAGAAAACAGTGTTACATCTGATGTAAGTTATATAATAATATGGACTGATTGGTAATCCATTCTTACCCCCTCTGGTCGATTAATTACATTATTTGAACATGTGGGATGCGAACTTTTTGGTTTTTCGTGGTTGGGATATTGAGAAGCAGTTCTGATGTCAGAGAACTTAGGAAGTGGAGTTCTCCCTGCAAAAAGACCAACAATCTGTGTGGAAAAAAAATCCTTAAGAATAAACAAAAACCTAGTGGATCAGATTGTTTCTTCTCCAAAAGAACATCAAAACCAATTAGTCATAGACTCATTACTAGTATAATCACATTTCAACAAGTATTTACCAGCACATAGTCTATAGTGTGTGTGTCTTCTTAAGCTCACCATTGTTGATTCCCAACTCGATGCAAAGAGCTCGCTTGGCGGCCTGCCCTTTCTGATGATGTATCCTTCAATAAAACAAGCAGACTAATTACCATGTAGCAATAGTGAGAATGACTTAACAATTAAACTGTCATAAATCACACACATCAAACCACTTAAACAGATTGTGTTTAGCATTTCACCAACTGAATTTACAAACAACATGCGAAGCTTAAAGATCGTTCGACTAAACTAATGTCTATAATGAACAAGAGAAACAGCACCTACCAGTCAGATCATTAAACCTTGTATTTCGATTTCGATTGCTACCACGAAAAATAAAATTACTCTCTCAATTCGGGCTATTGAAATTAAACGGAAACAGCAGAAGCAAGCAACATCTTTTCTCTCGACCGGGTTTATTATCTTCGTTTATACAAAAAGAGGGTTTGAGTTTCAAAAGAAAAAACCCACCAACATACCCGGTAACCCAGCTAAAAAGCAAAACCCAATATCCAAAATATTAAATATACAAACCAGAACATCGATAGAAACCCAGCAACCCAACAACAAAGAAGAACCCTTGTGTCCCTTGAAGCTCACAAATGCAAAATACCCATTACCAGAAACTCAGTAAGAAAGCAAGAAATCAAAAACCCAGTAAGAAAAAACAACGAAGAATCCATTGGGAATGGAAAGTCGTTTCCTTCGTACCTGAGGAGGAGGCAGATAGTCAGATGATGTTGTTGAATCCCTGAGAAATGGAGAGCGAGCTGAACGAGACCGCTTGCTCAAAGTCTCTGCATCTACCGCGTTCTATTCTTGTTTTCTTTCCCGTTTTCTTCGGGTTCAGACCGTGAGAGCCACGGCGTCGTCTTGAGAGATCCGTGAGAGTAAATCACGGTCGTCGAACGCAGAATAGTTGAATGATCTTGATTGGTTTGTGACACTTGAGCTCTGCTGCACTTGCCCACAGCGTAAAACTTTACTTTTGCACAAACCGAGTTCCGGTCCTTATGTTATTATTTTGGGCTTGCAGGCCTTTCGGGCTTTTCCATGGAAGTGAACCTATGACCCAAATAAACATCCTAAAAGTTTTGTTTTTTTCTTTCTTTTAGTGAAGTTTTCACTTTTCAGATGATGTAAGATTACTTACACGAGAGAAGTCGCTATTAGGTAAAAAAAATTGACCAAAACTGATGACTTGGAAAGAAAAAGAAGATTTTGAGTCTTGGTATTGGAGATGGTGTATGTGATGCACGATAAATTTGGACAGGTCATGGTTGGATTTTGATAATCTAAATTCAAATATTTAAATACCAGTGCATCTATATACGTATACACTGGTGTTTTGAACGACTATATTTGCATGATTGAATTTGAGTAGTTTCAATTAAACCGTCTAAATACCAGTTAAGAGAATTCAAGCAATTGTAATAATTCTTTCTGTACAGTGGATTTAATTGTTAAATCATTCGATCGACTTCGTAATATAAATGCTACTTGATATTTTGAATGATAATGTATACTTAGTTGTATATCAGTGTAGATCCCCACTAACTTTTTAATCACAGAAAGGGATATTCTAGGAGAGGCCAACAAAAGAACGTTTCAATATACATCTCTCTTTGGACACAGAAAACCATACATCCATGACATGACTATGAGTACGCTTCTAATGCATTGGCGTGTATAGATTTTGATAGTTTTAATTCAAAAATTCTACTTTTACCATGCATTTGTTTTATTATTTATATTATTATTTGTATCATTTCTCTAATAAAAATATGACTCACATGTGTTAGTGGGTTCTATCTTTATTAAAGAGATAATATAAACAATGATATTAAATACCGATGTATCTCGTGCTCACATATATGGAAACATTGAATGATTGGATTTTCATGGCCAAGTTTTGATAATGTCATTTTAATCGTTTAAACACTGATATTTGTCATACACTCCTACGGTTTAGTGCATTGAACAACTATATTTTAGTAATTTCAGTTTGGGTGGATATTTAACAATGGGCCCAATGCAATTGAAGGCTTAGGCGTGCGCAAAATAGAAAGGGGTTGGGCTGGGAAAGGTGGCAGCCCATTATGAATTTAAAAACCCTTTTTGGGCAATTAATAGGCAACAAGCATATGTGATAAGTGACAAGTAACAGAAGGTAGCTCACCTTCAGCAAAAAGCACTTTTCCATGGCATGGGTAGGTAATTAATAAAGCAGATGATGACTCACTGTGCTCTGGAGGCCATCACCAAAATGGAAGGCTTGAACACTCGTGCTAAGAAATCTATAAACGTAGCAAAGGATACGAGCATAAGTCTCTCTCTCGACCAATCAGAAAAGCCATACTTAACTTTGTACTCAACAAAAAAAAGCTAGAAAGCCTTAGTTTGTTCACCCCTTTACCCCTTGTTAGTTGTAGGTCCACCATAGAAAGCTATCTTGTCAGTTTTTTAGAAGCTCTGCTACCATCCCCTTTGTTGTAGTATCGAATCCTTTAAATATAAACCTTGTTTGTATTTTCATTTTCCAAGACTTCAATCTTTGTAAAATACAAGGAGAAGTGTTTGCAAGAAAACAAATATTGCCAGACAAGATTGTAATCTTGCCCGAATCTCCTTTATGTGTACTTACATAAAGTAAATCTGTTGTTTATGCATCTTTCATTAGTTCTTATGTGATTTTTAACTACATTTGCCATTAGTTTTATTTATGATTAACCCTGTTGACTAATAATTCTTGTTTTCTAGTTGTCGGCCTAAATTGATAACTAAGGAAATAACTTGAATGATCTTGATTCCCTTCATAAACTAACATATGGTATTATAAATAAAAATTCTTTGACCTAAAAGGCAAGAAAAGAACTTGTAAACGCGAAAATTCTTGTAACGAATGAAACGAGAACACGTGTACAAAGTAGATTTGTATTGATTTGAATTTGCAGGGTTACAATCTCTGTTTACAATTTTCCTTTGATTCAGTCTTCAAATTTGATGTAGATGCGTATGCTGTTGATCCAAGGGTCACGATGACTTGATCTCGGACGAACGATTGAACGATTACTTCAAGTTTCGAGCTTGAAACAACATTTGGATGGTCTTCACCTCAAAGTTGTGGTAAAGGGTGATGTTGATGCAGGATTTCGTTGATTCAAGGGTGTCACGCCCCGATCCCGACATACGTCTAGAATCGACATGTGATGTCACCAAATACCCGTCTCTAACATACCCCGCCTCCGAAAAAAAGGCAAAACATAACCTAAGATCCAACTGCACAATAATTCTTCGTAGACTTTATGGTTGCATCTAACATTCTCGTTAGACTGCCTACGTACCCTAAATAGGGATCAAGCCATTCATAGTTCATTACTTCACTACACTTGAACATTCATCACATAAGTCATTATGTCCCAACAAAATATCACAATGCATATCATGCAATATTTCAAAGAACAAACGACGAAGCACAATCATATTCTCTCGCCATATTTATCAACAAGTCTAGTCATAACAATAACAATGATATCCAACATAATAATCCCACAAGACGAATAACATTTCCACTTCATCCATCACATAAATCATCACGTTCCCACATAAAATCACAATTCATAGCGTGCAACATATTAAAGAATTAACAAAGCACAATATTATTCTCTAGAAATATTAATCAACTAAAATAATCATAATAACAACACTCATATCCAACATCATTCCACAATCCCGTCAATTAATCAATTCGTGAATCAAGATGCACAATCTTAGCATTTAATTACGTTAATCAAGCAATACGATATCAAAACATTTCACGAATTTAACCAAGGAACTCTATATAATTCCCCACTTGGATTATGAGTAATAAACATGGTAATTCTAATTTATATTCACAATATCTATTATGGGTAATTCCCATCCACTCGAATTTAGGATTCTAAGATCACCTTACGGAAATGAACAAGAGCAAGGATTCCGGACCACTCAACGGAATCCAACAACATCAGGTTCCGAACCACTCAACGGAACCAAAATATCAAGCGGTTTCTTGTAATCTACCCAGACCTGTCATATGTAAAGTCAATGCCTACATTATGGGATTGGTGCACTGGCAAATTAGGCACTCAGATAAGTTGCGAGGCTCAGGTGAGTGCAATAATATAAGCATGTGATACAATAATAAAACCAACCATCAATCACAATTTATAAACCTTGAATATAAATCATTCATAAGAAATCAATACCAAACTTTTGAAAACTCTGAGGGAGTCACCCAGACATCCAATGGTTCGTCTGAAACAATCACAACATCTCACAACCATATTCTCATACACACAATGAAAAGTAGGGTTAGAGCGACATAGTTCGGCCGAAGCCTACATCTTTGAAGCTATCTCAATCCAAACTCAATGAAACCTAAGGTGGATACGATCCCGGACCATCACTTTGGCAGCGTATTAGTCTTCAAAGATTTGTGCAGAGGTTCTTCTCAATGTAGAATTTTCGACCCTATGCTTGTGGGAGGAAATTGTTTTTATAGACTTCTCAAAGCTTGCATTTGGATAGATTTAGCTTTGATTTGTGTCTTGATTCATCAATGGGATAATTTAGGCATATTTTGTGTCTTAATTTCAACCACCTTTACTCCCTTGGCCGAAATTTAGAGGCTTTATTGCCTATTTTGTGAACAGTCTTCAATTCTTACTTGTTTTGTGAAGGTGCCTTTGCTTTCTTTCCGGTTTTAGGATCACTTAACCTTTTGCTGAAATTAAGGGAATTTTTGCCCTTGAGCTGAATTTTGGGAACGTTTTATACTTCTCTTGCTTGATTTATGTCACATGTCATTGATGACTTGTCCATTTGTGATGAATCATATGCCACGTGGAGCTTTGTGATGCATCATTTGTATGCAACGAAATTTACATGTCTACAAAACTTAATATAGACTTAGCCCATCTGTGAACAATTATGATAAGTCAAGGAGTCAAAGTGACTCGTGGTGCAAGTAAACAGTAACCTAAACAACCAATAAAACAATCAGTTAAATAAAAAGCACAGTGGCACGCTCATACTTAAATTAGCTTTGATTGTGAGCCTCAAGGCCTAACAAAAGCTCAACAAAAGCACCATTCAAACTAGTGACAAACTTATATTATAAAAAACCAAACAACAGACCTTACCCAACATGCAAAACAAGAAAAGTTATGCAAGAAATAATTCTAGCCCGAATAATTTCAATCTAACTACTTAAATATCAGTGCTTCTCATACACTACCGGTATGGATTCTTGATTCAGTAGTCAAACATACAAAAGAATAAATCTGCCAAATGACTGTCGGTGCCCTTTGATTCATGATTTAGCTAGGAGAGTGACGAGAGGCAATTAGATGGGTCCCATACAGGTGTGAAAAAGCCACGGACCAAGGATGCAATTGCGTGACGGGTACTCGAGTGACAATGAGTACACTTCCCATGTGCACCTAATTGACCTCAATCCACACCTTATGTTTCTTCTTCTTGTAGCCTTTTAAGGAGAAAAACTGTTATGAATATATTGTTACAATGACGTTTTATGTTTATGATATACAAATTTGTATAATGTTTATTCACACAGCATTGTACTATTGACATAGAATACCACAACAGCATAGTTTACTCGTGTTTTATATGTTTGCTTTCAGTTCTTCTTCTTGCTTTTTAAGAAGAAAAACTTATATAATATGGTTACACTCATACAATGACGTTTTATGTCAATAATACAAATGTATAATATTTATTAACGCAACATCGTATTATTAACATAAACGCCGCAACAACACGATCTACTCGTGCGGTTGCCTTCATTTCGTAGATGTTAATTGTTGCTCCCACACATTTGTTTCATCATCTTTTATCTACATCGTGTCCCATGTCTCCCATTCGATTATTGACTTCTTCAGTAACTTGGTTTCAAAGAAAAAGGAAAAAGCTGGCGATGATAGGTGCAACTTGTGGAGAAGTAGGAAGTCGTACATAGTGCATAGGATGCTAATTATGCTGTAGTAATAATCATTAACTAGCCTTAATTAGTTATTATACTTGACCATTCAATAACTAACCGATATTCCCCCGATGTTATCGATAATTTTTTTTTGTGTGTTCGAAACATAAGGTGATATATCATATGTTATTATATAATTAGAGGGAGGTTTTTTATTTTTTATTTTAAATTTTGAAGTGTTCATCCAATTGTATAATAAAATATGACGTACTGCCCTGTATTCCGAACATACCGAAAAATCTCTTGAGATTATCATGGCAGAGTTGCTAATAAAGCTCCGTTTTTATTATTTTTTATCCGAAGGTACAAGCAAAGGTGGAGTTCAAACTGGTTAGTACGAAAATTTAGCTTCCATTGAAGTTGCTCTAAATAACATCTATATATGATGCCTCGACCATGATCTATTACTGTTGAATATAAGTCTTAAATCTGGAAATTGAGAAAAATAAAATGCAATGTGATTTGTTATTGAAGTCTTTTGTGATAAAATTCGACACTTAGCTTTAAATGGTTAAATTACAATAATATCAGTGTGGTTAAGAGTAGGTTAGCTGCTCGTCTCTATGATATGTGGTAGTTACATCCATTCATGATCTGAATTGCTAGTCCATGTTTAAGATGACATCCACCGGTTTTCGTTGCCAAAATTATTACTGGACTGTCGTAACTTAAAAGGAGTAGTTATTGTAGCTAGGTAATTTTGTACAAAATTCAAATACTCCAACATTCCGGATGATACTTGCCTCCACCCTTTGAATTGATGCATTTTCTTGTTCACTCAGTTATGATTAATTTGTTTTCATCGTACAAATGTCGCAAGCATATTTGTTTATTTTCTTAATCATCACCGAAAGACTTTATTTGCAATAAAAAAAAAATTTCAATCCAGTTGGAGATTTTTAAGTCGTTCATATGCATCAATTAACTGAACAACATCCTAAGAGAGTTACTAGTCACCAAAATTATTAATTCACTCGATAAATATCACTAACTAAACAATTAATCTTTAATTAAAAAATGCGTTAATCACAACCAAACAATGAGGTGAATATACCCCTCTAGTAAACACAAGTGTAGTCCCTTCCAATATAACTACCTTCGTATGTGAATAATTAGTAATTAAATTTCATTGATGGGATTTGTACTAATGTAATTCAGAAGGGAGGGTGAGTTAGGGAGTTAGGTAAATCCAAATTAGAAAAAATCATGCTAGTAAAATCAAATTTTACAAGTTATATAATGTGCTACGAATAGAAAGTAGGCACGTTAATTAATATTTAAGTAATAATTTAATCATTAATAACCACGTGATTTACAAAATTTGATCTCCGTTGTATTACGCACAAACGGCACACATAATTGGATGGTTGTTGATGGGAAGGAAAAGCAAAAGAAAGTTTCCAGACATGTTCTTTTTTCTTTGCTTCTTTTGATTAATCTAAAGTTACTTTTTAATTGGTTAATCTATCACTCTCACTTTCGTAATCTTCATATATTAATTCCCAGTCTATTTCCTTTACTCACGGCGCTCTCACTTCCAATCTCACTCACTCTCTCTCTCTCTCTCTCTCTCTATCCCCAACAAACCACACAAAACCTTTCTCTTCTTGTTCACCATATCACTATCCATCCATCCATCCATCCATCCTTCTCAAATTTTCTTTCCTTTCTTAAGAAAATGTCAGAATTTTCTTTCCAACCAAACACGTCCAAGAAAATCAAAATCTCTAGTCTTCTTCTCGCCGACTTGTTCAATCTTTGTTTCTGCATTTTGTCGCACCCTCTTTACTTCTCCTACTTCATATTTTTCTCACCCTACCTCCTCAAGCTCCTTTCTTTTCTATCTCCTCTTTTCATCACCACAGCTCTTCTTGTGGTTGCCTATCTAACGGTCCAACACGAAGTTGCTGATTCCAAATCGTCGAAAGTCAAATTGGGTTGTCTTGTCACTGCGTACCAAACTGTTTTGGAAGGTTTGCACAAGTTTAGAGTTGATGACAGTGATGGCGGTGATCGTGATCATGATCATGAAGAATTCCGGTCTTCCGTGGAGCTTGAAGCGTATAGAATTGTGTTTGACACGTCCACGTTCGAAATCAACGAGACCCCAGCTGAGAAAAATTGCTCACAAGTCTTTGAAGCACAAGTTGAAGATGTGTCAAGTCATGAAGCTAATTGTGCTTCTGATGTTTCTGATGCTGCAAGTGATGTTTTTGACGACAAGTTCGAAATCCCAGCTGAGGCATTCGTAGAAGAAGAAGAAGAGAATTGGCCAGAAAACTTGTGCAAAAAGGAAGAGGAAGAAGAAGTGATCAAGCCACCACCAAGCACAGAGTCCAAGAAAGTTGAAGTACAAGAAGTAAAAGAAAAAAGGTTTATGAGAAGAGGAGAATCCAAGGATTATTTGGGTGATGGAGGTGAGTTAAATTCCAAATTATCCAGGGTAAATTCCCAAACCCTAGGAGCAAATCTTTGGGAATCCAGGTTAAATCCCCAAACCCTTGGAGCAGATGTAGGAGAATGTTACTACAACATGAGTCCAAATCTTGGAAGTTTTGGATCAATGAGGAAAGAGAAGGAGTGGAGAAGGACACTGGCATGCAAGCTTTTTGAGGAGAGGCATCAAAATGTGGATGGAGGAGGAGGAGGAGGAGGAGGAGGAGAAGGGATGGACATGCTTTGGGAGACATATGATGAGACAGAATCATTAAAAGTGGTGAAAGGTAAAAAAAGCAAGTCAAAGAAGGGGAAAGATGGGAAAGCTGAAAGCAATGATGGTGAAGAGGAAGAGTTTGATGGGCAATTGTGCTGCTTACAGGCATTGAAATTCTCAGCTGGGAAGATGAATTTGGGGATGGGAAGGCCTAATCTTGTCAAGTTTTCCAAGGCACTCAAAGGGTTTGGATGGTTACACCATGTCACCAAGCATGGCAAGAAGGGGCACCATTGATACCAGTTGGTCAGGGCAGTGAATCAGCCTCTCTTGTCTCCAAATTCAAATCTCTTTTCTGCTAAATTAGAGAGCAGTTAAGAATATATTTCGTTTTGTCAAAAAAAAAAAAAAAAAAAAGATTTCTAAATTTACTTTGGTTAATGCTAAATTAAGTGGTAATTTTTGTGTGTACTTTGAGTAAGAGTATCACGAGTAAATATGTTTTGTGTTTCATGATCTAGTGCTTAAATTAACTATAAAATCAGATTGTTCCTCTATTTCCATCTATCTCTTTCTTATCTCATCCTTAATCAAGTTTTCTAGTTACCAATTTATTTGCTATATAAAGTTACTTAAGAAGTCAACTCATCGTGTACAATTTAGGGTTGGTGTATGCCCGAACGATTTTAAAAAGAGCGGCCCCAAGCTAACAAAGCTTCTCGCTTTGTGAGGGTCGAATTGGGTGACGTCTATTGTACACAGCCTTATTTTTACTTTATAAAGAAGTTGTTTTCACAACTTGAATATATGACATTTCCATCACAAAAGAGCAACCTTTCTACCCGCACAACTTTAGCTAGTGGTTTTATTTCAATGACTTTGGGTCATTCATTATTTACGTACCATCTAGAACATATAGTGAGTGCATAGAGGTTCTTTGATATTTCTCTGGTCTTGGTTTTCTAATAATGGAGTTAAGAGGATGCTCTTTTAATGATGAGTCCCCTTGGGTTATAAAAAGTCACATGCTATGCTTTAATTGTTTGCAATATAACAAGGTAGGGTTTTGTGCCCCCAACTGCAATGGTATGGAAAAATGCTTTGATTCAATAAAGAAATTTTGCCCGTATTCAAAACGGATATTTCACATGTTATAGAATAAGTGTGAGGAATTTTTTTAACTTGTATTATAATAGGTGGATTACCGCTTGAATACCTAGTACTAGAAAAAATTTCTCGATTCAATGGGCCTCGTCAATCATCCAAACACATATATAAAGAAGGAATTTTTGTATTGGGAGTTGAACTAACAAGCGAATGTCTAAGACAATACACGAGGTCCCATTTTTATGTGTGGCCTATGAGTGACGTGATCCACCCGTCAGACCCAAAAAAAAAAAAAAAAATCATAATGGTATGAATGTCACAATGTATATGATACCCTTCAAGATTGCAACTTTTATAATAGCTTATACCTTGACGTTGTTCTCATTGAGAGTCCCATTAAGACTAAGACAAGAACCAATTTACCACTTTGAGTTGTGAATGGCCAAACATGAATGAAATTAGTAATATTATTAATTCACGTCAAAATAATTAACAAAGATAAATTAATAATATTACACGATGGTCACGCTTGAAGACTTTTATACAACATAGCAATTAATGTGGAGTCAACAATGAATCTTAAGAGCATCTCCAAAAGAGATGTCAAATTCAAAACAATTTCAGTTTGATGGCTGACTTGGCAATTTGACATATTGCCAATATTTTCCTTTGTGCCAAAATTTATTGCTTCATTTATGTTTTTTTTTCAAACAAAAATAATAAAAGTTGGGTTAAAAACACTTAAATATGATAGGCATTTAAGGTGAGGTAAGTTGAATGCCTTTGAAGATAAGAAAAAACTTATTTGACGCCATTGCTTCATGGCATCAATTTGGACGCTTGAAGTTCAGCCTTCTTCTTTGTGTCAATTTTGACATATCAATTAGAGTAAATTGTAAATCATTTATTATTGTTATAAGTCTATTTGACATTTTTAAAATCTACTTTGAAGATGGTCTAATTCAGTCATCTTTTGTTTTTTTTTTTAATCTTTTTCTTTAGCAATAACTGACGTTAATTAACAGATATTAAACTGCGTATTATGCGGTAGATTAATAAAGGAAGGTAGAAAATTTGGTGAATGCCACTTGAGTTAACATTGCGCAACTCCGGTGATAATGCGTAGTTAACTAATTAATGAACACCCAAATCCCACTAACCGACAAGTGAAAAAGTCAATTACATGGGCCCCACATGATTAGGTTTTAATGAGCACCGCCAAGTGGCAGTCGCCAATCCGCGTTTTACAGTTAACCATTAACAGAAACAAAGAATCAAAAAGTTAATGTCAGACTCCGAGTCCGAGACCGACACTGAGTCTGAGTGAATGAGAGAGCCTCACAGAGAAGCAACAACTCGAAAAATGCCGAACCTTCGAATCTCCGGCAGCGGTAGAGGAGGAGCCGCGCGGAGCTCCGTCGCCTCGTTCAGAGTGCTTGCCATGGCCATTGCAGTCGCCGTCGTCTTCTTCTTTTCGCTCTCCTTCGTCTTCGCCTCCCGAACCGACTCCTCCGATGTCGGCGACTCGGTAAGTGTGTCTCTACTGTTCTTTCACACTCTCGCTGCTTCAATGGAGTTTGAAGTTCATGATTTGTATTTCCCGATCTAATCTAATCGTTTTTCGTTCCCGCGCTGGAACTGGATTTAGTACCAAAGTACCAAATTTTCCAATAAAAATAAGAGCAATTTTTGATATTTTGATGGTAATTGTGATTAGGGTTTGGATTCCGGTTCGTTTGGTGGATTTGGATCGACGAGAAGGACCGTACTAGCTCTGAAATCGGACCCACTGAAGCCCCGACTGGACCAGATCCGGAAGCAGGCAGACGATCATCGGACCCTAGCCCTAGCGTACGCGAGCTATGCGCGGAAGCTGAAGCTCGAGAACTCCAAGCTGGTTCGGGTTTTCGCCGATCTCTCCCGAAATTACTGGGATCTCATGAACAAACCTGCCTATCGCTCCCTATTCGAATCAGACGCTCTCAACATTGACGAATCGGTGCTGCGACAGTTCGAGAAAGAAGTGAAAGAGCGAATCAAAGTTACTAGACAAGTAATTGCCGAAGCGAAAGAGTCTTTCGATAACCAGCTCAAGATTCAGAAGCTGAAGGACACCATTTTCCAAGTGAATGAGCAGCTGACGAAGGCTAAGAAGCAAGGGGCTTTCTCGAGCTTGATTGCCGCGAAGTCGATCCCCAAGAGCTTGCATTGCGTCGCAATGCGGCTGATGGAGGAGCGAATTGCGCATCCGGAGAAGTACACTGATGAAGGGAAGCCGATTCCCCCGGAAATTGAGGACCCCAATCTGTACCATTATGCTATATTTTCGGATAACGTGATTGCAGCGTCGGTGGTGGTGAATTCGGCGGTGAAGAACGCCAAGGAGCCATGGAAACATGTCTTCCATGTCGTGACTGATAAGATGAACCTTGGAGCAATGCAGGTTATGTTTAAAAGCAAGGACTATAATGGGTCACATGTTGAAGTGAAGGCTGTGGAGGATTATAAGTTTTTGAATTCTTCATATGTGCCGGTGTTAAAGCAATTGGAAAACGCAAAGTTGCAATCATTTTACTTTGAGAATAAGCTCGAGAATGCAACCAAAGACGCAACAAACATGAAGTTCAGGAACCCCAAGTATTTGTCCATATTGAACCACTTGAGGTTTTATTTGCCTGAAATGTACCCGAAATTGCATAGGATTCTATTTTTGGATGACGATATAGTGGTTCAGAAGGATTTAACTGGTTTGTGGAGGATTGATATGGATGGGAAGGTGAACGGGGCGGTTGAGACCTGTTTTGGGTCTTTCCATCGTTATGCACAGTACATGAATTTCTCACATCCTCTGATTAAGGAGAAGTTTAATCCTAATGCGTGCGCGTGGGCTTATGGAATGAACTTCTTTGATCTGGATGCGTGGAGAAAGCAAAATTGTACTGCCGATTATCATTACTGGCAAAATCTGGTAAGAGATTACTTTTCTTTTGGTCAAATTTGTGTTGCATTTTGAAATCAATAGCGGTATCTGATGTGTATATATGCATATGTTGTAAAAACTGCTTGGTTGTGCAAACTTTGTGCATTTGTTGTTTTTGTTGTTTCGAATCTGCAGCTTTTGGTTGCCGTAGTGGTACCTTAAAGGGATCCATAGTAAAGAATGTGCCACTAGCTGCAGTGAAAAAAGAAGGAAACTTACTCATAATGCTTTTTAGATGCTATAACGTCGTTCTTATAAATTATTCTGTTCTGCTATATCTCTGTTAATTGTGTGTTTTCCCATCTCTTGAGTAGCATTGACTAGGGATGTTGATCTTATTGCAGAACGAGAACCGTAGCCTGTGGAAATTGGGGACACTTCCGCCAGGTTTAATCACATTTTACTCGACAACAAAGCCACTAGACAAGTCATGGCACGTTCTGGGACTTGGCTATAATCCGAGCATCAGCATGGACGAGATTCGCAATGCTGCAGTGGTGCACTTCAACGGGAATATGAAGCCTTGGCTTGATATTGCCATGAGCCAGTTCAAGCCACTCTGGGAAAAACACGTCAGTTATGATATGGAGTTCGTTCAGGCCTGCAATTTTGGTCTTTAAACGAACCGGATTTGTTGAAGCTCTAGTTGGAGAATCTGCCAATGCTAGTCCTACAGCTAGTAAGCTATCCCTCTTTTGGATTCCGTAGTTGCTCGTTGCACGTTTACTAATTATTCTTAGTATAGGGACGATATGCATCAATCTAAGTGTAGCATACCTGTTTTCCATGTTAATCTAGGTCTTCTTTTTATTGTTTCATACAACTTAAGTTCACTTGGAAGATGATAATTACTGAAGTTGGTGGAAATTTACAGTAAACTGTCAAACACGTCGTTTGTTGTTCGCTTATTTCTGCCATATCATTGTGATATTCGGCTACTACTTACTACTAAGTTCTACCAATTTCCCCAAATTTAGTGAAATTATAAGCATCTCCCAGTCTGGATTAGCAGTGTTTGTACAAATTGTTAAAATTATCTTCAGATATTTTTACAAAACTTTGTGTGCATGGAGTATCCCTTACATTTCTATTCGTCATGGGACGGGAATCCAATTCTCGTCGAGGAAGGTCATCGGAATCGTTATTCTGATGTTGATGCTCAAAAGTTTGCTACTTGGAGGGATATATTATGCAAAAGCCTGAAAGTGCAATCATAGAAACAAAAATTTGTTGGCCAACATTTAAGCTCCATTGAAAACTCTAAAACCCATACGTTGGCCGATATGTAGGCACAACAACCATTCGCCGCCAACAAGTCAAAAGCACAGTTGCGATTCGCGGCCAACAAGTCAAAGCAAAGTTGCGATTCGCCACCAACGGACCAAACCAGAGAATGCGAAATGGAAATAGATGTGTACAGCGTTGAGTAAAATCCAAGAAGAGGAAAGTATGAAGAAAGCGGAGAACGCTCCATTTTTATTGAAATTTTCCCACACGATAAGCTTCTCATAGTTGGCCCACGATTTTTAGGTCCTTCAATTTACACAATCGAAAATTTTCGCCGTACGAGCTCATGTTAGTGTACCGCGAGGGCCTATTTGGACCATACTAAGCCGAGCAACATTAGCATTACCTAGGACAAGCCGATCCTGACTAGCAGAACGACTTGAGAACCAGTGTTAACGTCGGGGCTCAGGGGGTTCGCCATCCCCTTATCCCGGGCGTGCAAACAAACACTAGCGCGGCAAACCCTCGGGAGCAGCTCGAGCAGTCCACCTACCAGCCACACCATCTGAGTCGTCCGAGACTTGGTATTTCAACTGACATGGAAGGTAACATGTTTTGGTATGGCGGTGGGCTCTCCTACCCTAGCCATCGCATCGTTTTCCATTAAACTTTTAATTCTAGGTAGCCGTAAAATTTGATTCTACAAAAACATAGAAAGCTATAAACTCCATGACAGAGATCACGGAAACCTGCAACATGAGGCAGCCATTACAACAGAAAAACCCTAAACAAAAATATGAGCACTTCCAAGTTTCCACTCCTATCGTCATTTCCCAATTTCCATCCACATAAAAACCAATGGAGCTACAAACAGTTTATCCAAAATATAATAAGCACAAAATCTAACACCGCTATCGCCTCCAAAATAGCTTCGATATAAAAACCCGAAAATAAAAAAGGTTAAAAGAAAATCCTATGGAACATCCTAGGTGGCTGGTTCATCCGCAAAACGATCAGAAACGAACCTCTCAGTGCTATCCAATTAACTTCACCATCGATACACTTTCAAAGAAAAAAATTAATCTGTCGCCGTTTGTGACCAAACTTCAAAAGCAGGCGTTCTCATGCTGAGGCAGACACCTGTGGTGCTGTGCTTTTTGCTGCTGCATTAACCGCCACCCCACCAGCACGATTCACACGACCACCATTGTCAGACCTCTGATATCCATCTCCTCCACGGCCCGATGATCCTCCCCTATTGCTACTCCTACTTCCATAATCAGACTTGAAATCACCACGACCACCATTGAAATCGCCACGGCCATAAGCCCTACTACCTCCATAGCCTCCACGTCCTCTTGGTCCCTCAGTCCTGTACCCGTTCCCGTTGCCCTTCCCAGAAAACCGTCCCCTCCCTGCGTAAATAAAGAAAAGGATGAGCATAAAAAATTAGAATCAAGAAAGCTAGAAATAGACAAAACATAATGTTGGGAACACAAAATTCAACTCACCTCGAGTAGATCTCTTTTCCTCAACATAAACTTGCCGTCCACTGATCTCGATGGGTGAAGCCTAAAACACCAATGCAGAAATATTATTAGCACAATAACTTAAAAATCTCCAAGAACATAAAGACATTGTTATATCAAAAGGATTAAATATATATGCATTCATGATTCACAAGCAAATTTCTTGGGTTCTCTGCTATTCCGTAGGGTTCAAACAAATACAGCAATAGATATGTTCAAACGTCCAAGAAGCAGATCATAAAAAGGATAATGGGTCAATGTCTATTAAGTACCTCCATCGCACTTTGCACAGCACTTGCAGCCTCAAATTCCACGAAGCCAAAACAGAACCCCTGTTGTAATGATGAAGAGACAATTAAGTATATCATTCACAGAAGGATTGCCAACATCAAACAACAGACAAACTTGAGCTGATAAATCACAAACCCTTAGCATTCTAACTTGAACACCATTCTTCTTGATCTCTCCGAATTTCTTAAACTCGGTCTCGATTACAGTATTTGTACAATCCATTGGCAGACCTTTAATGTAGATAGAATGACCTTCAGCTGTTCACAACAAACAAAATTAACAATTGTATCAAACTAATGCATACATACAACATGTGCAACAGAAAGTACGTTAACTCGTAATACAACGAACTGCTCACCTTCGGGCTCTAAATTCCCATTTTCTCTGGCATTTGTGCTGGATACTGTTTCTGAAACTGGAGCAGATATTGGAGCAGTAGCCACTTGGTGCTCCTGCTTCTTTGGAACAGACCTCACAGGTGCTGGAGTAGAAAATGGGACAGTACTCTCCTTCATGATCTTAAGCTGGAACAATTGGTAAAGACCCCAAATAAGCATGAACAATAACAAAGAAAGTAGAAAAGTATTGACTTCTTTTATACAATTTAATTACAAAACTAATGAGAAATGTAGTACTACAACCAAAAACACATATCTAACAGATATAAAAAGATCTAGAGGCATGAGATGTTGCAAAACAGCTGCTTACAATTGAGGCATATGACTTCTTTGGTGCTTCAACTTTAGAGTTAGATTCAGCTTCAACTTTAGAACTAGACTCAACCTCAACTTTGGGGTTGGATTCAGCTTCAACTTTTGCGAATGATTCAGCTTCAACTTTAATCACTACTTGGGAATCATCAGGAATTTCATTGACGACTTCAGGTTCTGGTACTTCCTTCTCTTCAACAGAAACTACTCCATTTTCAGAAGGTTTGAACAGTTCCTCCTTGACAATGTCCTCAGGCACTGAAATCACAGGCTCCGGGACATGATTGTCCTGCAAAGCAGTAGCATCTGCAAAAAGAATATTCTCAAACTCAATTAGATTGAACCAAAATTACCCACTTGAAAGACTTAAAGAAGCAGCAGTTTAAGCCATACCATGTTTGGGAGTAATAGGAGGTTCAACTTCAACATCAACAACCAATCCATTGTCCTCGTTTTCAGGGTTGGAATCTTCAACATATCTAAAGACATCGTTCAAAACAAAGTAGCCTACGTCTTGTGGTGCCAAGAAAAAACTTTGAGTAAATGTCTTCCTTAAAAGGTCCTTTCCAGTTAAATACCCAGTGACAAGAACACATACTCCCCCATTGTAAGATTCTTGAGCATCCACAGTTTTGATATTTGCACTGAGCTCTCCGTAATCAAGTATCTTCTTGTTGATTTCCTGTCCAATAAAATGCAATAACACTCTCACAATTTCAGTGGACAAAATTTAAAGATACCCACAGCATAAACATCTACGCCACAAATACTGAACTTTAGTAACAATTATAAACATGATCTGGCGTAAACATGAAGTTGTCACAAAGGTAGGGTCTTGTAAGGAGCTTACCTCCATAGTGGTTGTAATGCTCATGATCCCATCATCTCCCGGACGACCAAGCTTACTGGTATCTTGGTAAAATCGATGAACAAGCTCAGGAGATTGTTCCAAGATATTGTAGTACTGAAGAACAAAGGCATTGCCAACCTATATTTAACAAAATGTTCCAACAAAATTCAGTTAGCAACCATCAGGATCCATACGGTAATCGATCATTGACAACTGTACACGTTTAATATCAATACATACAACGTCGGCAGTAGGAGCGAGACTCGCAGCTGGGGCTTGCTGCACCATCGTTGCCATCTCTGATCAACCTCCAGAACCAAACAAAAACAAAACCATTACATGTAGAACCATAAAAATTTAACTAGATCATTTATTCAAAACATAAATACAAAAATTACCAGCACCAAAAGAATTACTTTAAAAAAAAATTACATCAAACATATTTTCCTCAATTTAACTGAAGATACATTAACATATATATGTATATTCCTTAAATTAAATACATACTTTCCAAAATAAATATTAAGTGAAATTCAGCACAAGTTCGTACACTACAACATTTAAGCAAAAATTAAATTAAATAAAAAAAAATTGAAGCTCAAATCACTTCACTACAAGCTAAAGCTAACGAGTTCAGATTTCTAGGAAACAAAGGGAGATCTAAAGCGAGCGAAAATCAACAAAAATACACTTGAAAATATGCAAAGCGTAATGAAATGTGTTAGATTTGAGAAGAGAGAAAGAGTTACCTAAGCGCGGATCGGCGGAAGTGAGGTGAGAGAAGAAGAAAAGGTAGGCGGAGAGCTCGGCGACTTCTCTCACCTCCTCTCGGCGGCGCTTGGCGGTTTCTAGGGTTTTGAGCGGATCTCCAAGAGGCGCGACAGCGTTGGTACAGGAGGAGAGAGTGGGAGAGAGGAAGTGAGAAAAAGCGTTTTTGGGTCATTATATATGAGATAAGGAAATTGAAATTTTTTATTATTTTATTTCTCTTGCACAAATTTAAGTTTTTAATTTGACATTTTTACTTTTCATACACTTTTCATTAATTTTTATCCTTTGATCTTCATCTTTTAATATTTTTTAATTCATTCGATTTGATAGTAAAAAAATTAAAAACGTGTGAAAAGTTAAAAATGATATATAGATACCGTACCCTTTCAATTTAACTAATTCAATATTATTTAAAAAAATAATAAACAGTTTAGATTGGCCTTGAGACAACGACCAAGGCAAGGACAAGTAGTGTGGAAAAATCAAATGAATAAAAATTTGAGGACGGAA